TCTCCTTGTAAGTTTTTCCAGTAACTTCTTTGTATAAAATCCATGAATCCCTGCAAGATCAAGAATTTTGTAGAATACATGAACTGGCCACCTCCTTGATCCTGCCTTCACAGAATATTTCCGAGCCTTTTGGTCAACAATGTCGACACCAAATTTTGTTGAGTTATAAAATGATATTGTTTCTGGAAGCCTTTTTGGTTGATTATTGTCAATATCAGCTGTGGGTTGAAGGGAGCTCAATAATTTTTGCTGGGTTTTCCTTGATGAACTGTCAAAGTTATACCATCATGCTCCAGTAACAATGTATTGTATAACAGCATCTTTACTTTTTTCACTAATTCAGGTACTTCTTTCCGAATTCGTTTCATCATTCCAGTTAAACTAGTGTTCTTCATTTTTAACATTTGAAACAGATTTAGTGTAGTGAAAAAATTATCTGTAGAGATATTTCTTCCTTTATTTTTGAAAGGTTCTGTCAAACTCAAAATGATGTATTCGGGGAGAGATAGGTTTTCAGGACGTTCCTCGTCTTTACCCAAATATGGAAAACCACTGAGCACGTATTTACTATCAACATCAGTGGCAAGCCAGAACTTGATACTAAATTTATCTGATTTACTTGACATGTATTGCGTGAAACGACATCTGGCTTTAGACAGAAACAGCTGTTCATCAATAGTTATATATGGTCCTGGTTTATAGCAAGTTATCGAATTTTCAATAAATTTCTTCCAAACTTCAGAAATAAAACAGAATTTATCTGTTTGAAGACGTTCAAATTGTGTAGATTTTTGTTGAATAGCAGAAATTTCATAAGTTCTCTGAATCTATCTCTCGCCATAGTATCACGGAAAAAAGGTGGACCCTGAACAACAGACTATCAAGCTCTAGATTATTTGCACCGTATATACCTCGAGCATACAAAATTGATATAAAAGCATCTAGTTCGTCTAAAGTTGTTGACCATTAATTTTTTCCCAGTTGCCGGTGAGCTTCTTCTTCTGTACAATTTTTGATATGATGAAGCATAGGCTCATCTATAAGTAGCCTCTATGAACTAATTGCATAACCATTTTCAATATTTTGCTTTGCATAACTGATTGGGCCACTCTTTTCTTTGAAAACATTATGTTTTCAGCAATTCTTCCACACACACAACTTCCAGAGATGATGCTTTCCCAACATGTTCCATCATTTGCAACAAAAGTTCCAGACTTCTTTTCACCTGGATTTGAATCTCCGATAACTTTTTACTTTTATTTACACATTGTTTTTTCCTCCCAGAAGTGGTTTTTCTGCTATTTCATTGTGCAGAAAGATTAGATATGGTATCTTCATCCGAGGAAATATTTTCTTCATCTGGAGGCACATATTCATCATCGCTGGAAACAATTTCTTCCCCACATTATCGTTTTCGGATTCATTTTCCGATAATTGTCGCATATATTCGAGGGCCTCACTAACTGTTAATTTACACATATTTCTTCCAGCCATTTTCACCTAAGAACAATTTCATCTCCGCGTGTGAACAAGGTGGCAAAAATCGAACAGGTTGGTACACTCAAACTATCTCCAAGGCAATGCGAACAACCACTTGTGCAGTCATATAGAACCAGATGTGCACCCGTTAGACTACAGCATTGGCTTTGGTAGTATTGCACCACATTCAATTCAATAGGCTGAAACAAAAAACATTCCTTGAATTTAGAGGCATTTTTCTGATACGGAACAATAATGAGGGGGGAGGTCTGCAACACTGGCTACTACTACAAAATTCTCAGCTGCTCTTCTGTTATCAGTAACTATCTACTGACCCTGAAGTATTGTTCTGCTTACATATGGGAAATGTAAAGAGGACTGAAAAAGCTTTTCCCATTCCAAGAAATGTTGGATTGCAAATTTAGTAGTTGGGATTATGATGGGGTCAAAATGACCCATTCCGCAGTTTTAGGCATAAGTATTAAAAACAAAAAAAATGATAGTATTTAACGCATCATATTTTCACAGATTATTATTGATATAAAAATAGGAAAAATCAAGAAATTTTTTTCAATTCCGTTCGTAACTTTTTTGAGAAAATCGGAAAGAAAATTGTTTGGGGGTCAAACTCACCCCATCCACGGTTCTAGTGTTAAATAAAAATAATGCTTTGTATTTCATTTTACTAACTATTTTAATAGCATTTTAGATAATCTTAGATATGGATTTATATATATATTTAAAACTATATATCAGGTTTAGCAATTTTAATAATTTCTGAATAAAATACTGATGTGAACTATATACTATAAAGAAATACTATAAAGAACTTAATTTTTTTTAAATTCCTAATATCTTTTCATGCCTCATTTTTTTATATCCTTCCTGTGTTTCCTCTTGTATAATTCCTCTTTTAAACATCTATGTAATATGTCTAACCCTATAACATCTATCCTATTCTATGTGGTTTCTTAACTATGCATTTTCCCTCTAACTCTTCTGGGTGCCCTGTTTTTCAGAATGAGTTGAAAGCAGGACATAGACGTATAGACAGTGATCCTGGTAAAGGTATTCCTATCTGGAAGACTGAAACACGTCCTGTTACTTCCGACCATGATGATAAAGGGACAGGAAAATCTGTTCCCATGGATTTGTCCTTAGATGAAACTCGATTGCAAACCTTTCACCGTTCAGTGTCTTGTAGTATTGTGAATGAAACAGATGTGCCAAAATCAAAGCTGTACCACCGTGGTACATCACATCGAGATTTTCCTGCCTCTCTTATTAAAAATTTAGATTCGATAATGTCTGGTTCTCAGGTACTTCAAAATTAAATTTAAATGAATAATTATTGAGATTGTATAACTTGTATTAATACATGTATTAGTAAGGTAGTTGGGTTTTATCTTATTTCTCTTTTGGTTTGAATTCATGATTGAGTTTTAAGCCTGTGTGGCTTTTAACCTGTTTTGTGATTATTTTTTTTAATTAGATTAAGAAATGTTCTTTTGTTTACTAAGGCACAAAGAGGTTTTTTGAATATTTTTTATGTTTTTGTTGTGTGCATTGTATCAAATTTATGCTTTTTGTTACAAAACTTATCTAAGATTTTTTGAACCACATTAATCTTATAATTCCACCTAATATATTAATTAAACAGCAATTCATTAGAACTGAAAAAGTTTTATGGTTTTAGACTTAGTAGATTAAGATAATATAAAATAATATCTGTTTTGTATTACTATATGTTACCATGTTTTCTCATACTTAAACAATAAAAATTTAATTTTTTTTACTGTTAAAGAAGCATGTAATTATCCATTAATTTTTTATATAATTAGTAACATTTTAAGTTATAGCTGTTTGCTATGATTGATCTATGGCATATATAATTTCCTTTATATATAACATGTTTTCTCATGAACAGTTTAATAACTATTGGTACATAGAGAGAAATTGTTTTCAATTTTTGTAAATGCACAATTACATACTGTGAGAGTATAATATGCTCACATAAAATGTTAACTCTATTTTAGTAATCCCCCCCCCCCCTTTCATTCTGGTAGTTTGAAACTATGTTTTTAACTGAGATAATTTCAACTTTTAAAGTAATCGTTAAGTTTTATAATTCATGAATCTCAAGTATTAGCAAAGTGAATATTCGTTTTTTGACCGTAAAAAAATATGCACTATACGTTTTTCGTTCAAAATTGTTCAAGTGAAACTTTTTTTTTTGTTTTAATATTTTATAATAATGTAAATTATGTATCTTAATTTTATTTTCAGATCGTGTCTAGTCATAATATGGATGATTATCAGTGTAGAAGTTCAAGCAAAGAAATAACTGTAAGGATAAAATTGTTTCATTTATCTGTATGGGCATTTTACATTTTGTAGAATTGCTTATAACAATATTTCTATTATTCTCATTAATAAATTGTAATATGTAAATGTAGTCATTAAGCTTTTGATTTTCAGCAAGTTAATAATTTATTGAAAAAAGACTACCTTTTTTTTGATTTTCTGTTCATTATAATGGTTGCCAAAAAATGCAATCTTCATGCATTGTTAGAATAAGGATTTTTGGTATTCAAATTTACTTACTACAAATTACTTGTAAATACAATAAAAATTTCACTTTATAATTTGTACATTTACTGATTTTTAGCTGATATTTAAAGAGATTTAGTAATAAATTTATAAATGTTGAATAAAATTATAAGAAAAGCAGTGTGTATTTACAGTATGATCCAAAACATACCTCAATAATTTAAGGATGATTTCTTAAAAAAATAAGGTATACATTCCTATAATTACAGATGAGCATAGATCAATTCATATACAATAAATTGAAATCACAGTAAATGTATAAAGTGTGAGAATTAAAATTTCTAATGTTTTAAATTAAGTAAAATCTTTTTTAATCGCAACTTGTGAATTGATTACATATTGAGATGTTAAAGCCCCCCCCCTTTTTTTGAGTGCTTGTAAGGGGAATTTAATAATTATAATTATACCAGGGGATACATGTTGAAAATATCATAGTAACTGCTGTAGAAATTGCCGATGCAATTTCTGAAGGCTGATGAACATTAGAACACTCAAGAAATGTTTTTTTTTTCACTAATATTTTAAACTTTTTTAGGGGTAAAATCCCTATAGAAATTAAGAATTTTTTAAATGTATGTGCAATTCCTTCTATAAACATCATTTCATCTCATAAACATTCTCTATTTTTGTAACTCGTACATGTTTTTTTTTTCAATCCCTACTGTTAGTTCACACTCTCCCTATATATATATATATATATCTTGTTTTCAAATTTTCAATCGTTAATAAAATACTTTCTGTTCATCCATTCAAGTTTAAATACATTTTTTAAAACTTGTAGTGGATGACACTTAATGTTAATACAGTTTCTTCAAATATTAACTCATTAATTAAATTTATTTAATGAATCAAAAGAAACAAACAAAAATAATAGTCCAATACAATATATAAAAAGGAAAATTTCTCATTGTGTCCCTGTAGCACAATGGGTACCGTGTTAGACATCTAATCCAAAAGTCGTGGGTTCAAATCCCACCTGGGATGATCTAATTTCTGATAATGTGATTTCTTTTTACTATACTATTTTATTGGAATAATTAAATTTAATTAATAAATAGTAACAAACAAGAATAATAGTCCATCACCAAATACAGAAAGGAAAGTGGAAAATTGCAAAGAAAATCGCTTTCTATTTTGCCACTTAATATATTTATATTAAGTATATTATATTATATACATATTTATATATTAATTGTAATTATTTAATAAAAAGTAACTAAAATAAAATTTTTCTTTGTTAACCTAAGATAAGGAATTGACTTAATAAAAAAAAATTATATTATATACTTGTTTTTTTCTCCTTTCACTTTCCTAGGCATTAGATTCTCTAGTCATTTCTGCCATTCATCAATTGGCTTCAAAATTATGGTCAAATTCAAAGCACTTGCTCGAACGAGAAAGGTTAGCTTTAAAAAAATTATTTTGCATTCTTTAGCAAGTTTTTTGTATTTTATCCTATTGCTTTTTTCCTGTTAATCAGATTTTAATGATATTAGTTTGAATGTTATGTTTAAATTAATGCATGTTCAATAAATTTTTTCTGTGAAAAAAAACCAATCAAATTTGGATGATGAAAAGTTTTTAAAGTTAAATAAGTTTTGCTTTATATCGTAATTTTAATTTGCACATGAAAGGATATATCCTATTTAAGAAAAAATTGGGAAATTAAAGGGCATTTCTTTTAATATTATAATAATTATTATTATTTTGTTATTGATAAATTGATAATTCAACAATTTTGTCTTCCTTTAGAAAAAAATGTCCTAAGGGAAGTGATACTTGGTTAATGATAGATGAAGTTCTGCCTCAAGGTCCAGTAACGGGAACACCTGAAGATGGAGATTTCACTAAAGATCTGTCCAGTATTTTGAAGAACTTAAAGCGAGTTGAGCAAGGTTTAGATGGTTTGTATTAAATTCATATAATTTTTATTTGTAAACTGGCTGCATAGGCAGGCTTTTTCAAGTGTATAACTTTTTCCCTCTCCCCTCCATTCTATTTTTTGGACTGAACCTCATTGGTACTTCAAGGGAAAGTAATTACACCCAACTCTTTTTTTATGCAATTTTGAAATAACACAGTTCACCAATATAATATTTTACACGAATTTTTTGTTCTAGCTTGAATCACCCCCTCCCCCTTCCAAATTTTTTTCTGGAGTTATGGGGAATACCTAAACTGTGCAATCACTTTTTTCTTTATTTTGTTATGCTTCAACTTGAAAGCATTTTGTTCAATATAATTGTATTTTGTGTAAAAGTGTTCTGGTTATAGGATGCAATAAATAATTTCAATAAAGTTCTATAAGTTGAGGCTCAAATTAAAGTTATTTTTAATTCGATGGTAGAATTTCCTATATAATTTGCGTCGATGATGATTCTTTCTATTAAAAGCCATAAATAACAAATTCTTCATTTGAATGAAAGCCGACAGAGTTGTGCTAGACATATCCAACACAACTACTGATGATAGCATTTTTAATCCAGTTGTAATAAATGTGCACACTTGTTATCTAGTGAATAGTTGTTAGTAGTTTTATTTTGAATTTCTCAATTTGAATTTTTGTATGCTGCACATATTTATTGACTGAATTTTCATTACACACTATATTTTTTTGTGTGATAAAAATTAATTTTTTTGTTTTATAAATATGTTACATTTTTTTGGGGGAGGGCAGGGAATATTTAATTTTTTCATCTTGCACGATTTTTTTAAAGTTGAGAAGCAGACCCCCAAATTTACCGTATGTCGCACGTATTTTTTACACGATTCTCCCCTCCCCCCTCCACGATTATCTAAAGAATGTATTTATGATGTAAAACAAGATTTGGATGTATGAAGTTTTTCTTTTCTTTATTTTTTTTAAAACAGTTTTTTCAGTTAAAGTTCCAGATTTTGCACATCAATGACAGCCAATGATTTTTAAACAAATGTTAGAAATTGCATGAATAATGCCTCCAAAAAGAGTATTGGACTAAAAACAAAAATTTTAAAAATCTGCAATTTTTAAATGAATTTTTCGATTTTTGGTCAAAACAAATAGGATTATTTTCAGAAATTGGGAATTTATTAAATGTTTAGTCCAATTTTGGGTAATTTTCTAAAAATTCTTTAAAGAAAGTTTTGGGAATTGGTTTTTTAAATTATCAGTTCTAGGATAGCAAAGTGTGCACAGTTTAAGAACATAAGCATGATTGATCACAATGATGAGAAAGATACAAAGCAATTAAAAGTATGTCAAATGCGATTCTATCCATGAAAATATGTCATTGATTCATTTTAGAAAAAATGTAGAATATAATTACTTTTTGTCTGATTTCTCAGTATGGAAGACATAACAGTGTTAAAAATGATGGAAATGTTAGAAATCTTTTCCCCTGCCATCCTTTTGAGCCTTTGCATGCAAGATGACATGTACAAGGATAGGCCAATAATTCATTTTAACATTTTTAATTGATGTTTTTCTTAGTTTATTATAATTATGGAATTTAAATGATTAAAATGGAATCCTCTCAGAGTATTTCCCATTTTCAGGCATCTTTGGCCCATTTTTGCATGCAGAAGCTCATGAGAAGATAGTCTCACTTAAATAGATACGTTTATTTACTTTTAAATTTTAAGTGCTGACTGTAAGTTTAAGCCTCCCTTCACATACACACACCCCTTCTCCTTTATGACAAAATAGAAATTTTAAATATTTGGCTGTAATCTTCATAAAATTTGAAATGAAAGTTCCTTCTTTTTTTAAAATTGCCTTCCATTAAGTTTTAACAATTTCTTTAATTTTATTGTTCGTTATAACATTAATTTCTAGATAGTTTTATAAAGAAAGACAAAGTAGTGTTTAATTTGTGCAATATCTTAATTCACAATACATGTGAGTAATATTCTTTTTTCAAGAAATTCAACTTAAATGTTTGAACCCTTCTCAGTACAAGGCAGATTTCCCCACCCTCTTTAAACATTCTTAGGTGCATTTTGCTGGTGAGTGAACTTGAATGAACGTCACAATCTGATTTGTAATGCTCATTCAGTTTTTTTTTGTCTTTAGTCCGAAATCGTGCTCATACAAGATTGTCCACGACACATACACCCCTTAAAAGAAAAGGAGGACGTAATTTGTCCCCCCACCAATATGCCGTAAAAGTAAAGTTCCTAACTTCGATCTAAGTGGGGCTCCCCCTGCCACCTCTTTCTATGGAAATGAATGCGCGATTCTTTCTAATCCTAGTTGAAGCATGAAAATGAAACATATTTTTTTAAAAATTAGACTTAGAGAGAGAAATCCTACACTAAAATTAAACAAAATGTAGAAAAAGGACAAATTTTTATAGAACTAAGTAAACAGTATAATTATCAATAGCAATATTGCAGTGAATTTAAGAATAAAAATCTATTTTTGTAAGCTAATCAAAATAGCAATGAACAAATGGTTCTATTAATCAGATTACTTAAATATACTTTGAGTCTAAAAAGAAAATTAAAACAATTAAAAATTTAAAATAACAAAATTAAGTATACTGGTATTAAGAAAAAGTTACATTAAGTAATTTAAACACAAGAAAACAAAATATAATTAAGAAGACTCACCTTGCAGCAGCACCGAATATATTTGTACAAAACTGCCATACAATGACAAAAAAGCTGGTATAAACTAGAGATTATGTGATATAAATCTGATTAAATCCCTTTTTAAAGGTTTTGACCTAGATTCCTCTCTTCCCAATCCACTACCTGTCTTACTATCCCTTTACTTAAATTAATTCATGGATAGAAATGAACATTGTTAAATTACAACCAAAATTAACAAAGCCAGATTGGGTCTTCTGAACAAATTACCTATGATTTTAAGTGGGGATTTTAAAGTAGATTTTTCAAAAGACAAATCAAAATCTTTAGTTGATTTTTTAAAATCAAAATTCAATTTAATTATGTCGAATGATCCAAATGAAAGCACAAGGAAGTACAAAACAATGCTTGACAAAGTTTTTTTATAGATATTTAAATAAAATTTTGAATCTAAAGTATTTATAACCTATTTCAGCTACCATAAACGTATTGTTTCCTTCTTAGAATGCAATTAATTCACAAATATGATTGTATATTTTGCACAAAGATATTACTTTATGAGTACAGACATATGAATAAATAATTTTATATGACAATACTAATATCCCCTTGTTTTTTATTCACCTAACTAATCCCTGAAAAATTTGAAAAAAACTTTGAAGTTGTCACTTCTATTGTGTGTGTTTTTTTATTATTATTATTATCAGCAAGCAGTTTTTTGCTTGCTTAACTGGTGTTCACACAAAATTTATCATTAATATTATATTTATAAAAGTGATTGTTTTGAGATATTTAAATTAAATGTTTGCTGAAAAACTATTAAAAATATGTAAATTTTATAGGATTACCATGGACACAGCTTTACAATCTTTCTTGATCATCAAAACACAAAAACCTTATGGAAATAATTTATTAACTGATTATTTTATTGCTATGTCCACAAAAAAAAAGTCTTATTCAGAATATCAAACATTTTTTGAATGGTTTTAGTAAATCTAATATGTATCATACTGCATGTAAAAAATTATCTCCATTTCTGCATGAATAATACCTAAAGAAAATGAAATTGTACAAAATGTTTCTCCATGGTCAAAAGATGCAATTTTTCTCTTTGTTGCGTGACTTAGAGTGCTGACCATTCAAGCTCAAAGAAATCATACATGTGACAGAGATAGACCATCTTAGAAGTTAATGTATTTAAAAAAATAATTGTATTTTGTAACAGAAAATGTTACAAATTTTTTTCAACTATTTAACTCATTATTTTTGAAAAATGTTACTTAATAAAATTTTGGTGTGAGTTAAAAATCTAATGATTGGCTATATTATTTTGGCAAAAAATGAGTAAGTCCCTTATTGTTTTGTGGGCCTCATTCTCCCCCCCCCCCCCCCACCTTCTCAATTAATAAAGATGA